ACCAATAAGAAAGTGAATCTTTAAAAGATCAATAGACTTACTAAAGACCCTTTCGAGAGGGGAAAATATCTTAATATGTCATAGCAGAAAATACAGAATTCAAGGTGGATTTAAAGAACCAGAGAGGATTCTGACTTGCCCAGAGCATTCCAAGTTAGCATCAAAGCCGGGACTAGAACCAAGACTTCTGACCTCGTTGTCAGCTTTCTTTGACCGTATCATGGAAAGTACCTTCCACCATGAGCAGTTACAGTCCAGTCCACAAATATATCTTAGTTGCAATTATATAGCAATGTATGTGCTAAGACTTGACCTTCAGAGTCTCTGAGGAACTGCAAAATGTCATTAGAATCATTTGAATTGCCTGGTGAAAACCCACTCTAGATCTATTTGAATTAGAGTTTCTGGGTGGGACCCTGATACCTAAATGCATAACAGGAATATCTCACCCTAAGTTTCTCATGAACAATAGAGTTTGGGAACACTGCTCGACTAGATTTAACCTTCAAAATAGAATCAGGCCCTGGCCAGTGTAGCTCATTTGGTTAGAGCATTATCCTGTGCACCCAGTGGTTGCTAGTTTGATTCTGGTCAGGGCACAACTCAGATTTCAGGTTCAATTCCCTGTGGGGGCTTATACGGAGAAAACCATCTCTCTCTCTCTCTCTCTCTCTCTCTCTCTCTCTCCCTCCCTCCCTCCCTCCCTCCCTCCCTCCTCCCCTCTCTTCCTTCCTTCCTTCCTTCCTTCCTTCCTTCCTTCCTTCCTTCCTTCCTTCCTTCCTTCCTTCCTTCCTTCCTTCCTTCCTTCCTTCCTTCCTTCCTCTAAAATCAATATACATATTCTTGGGTGAGGATTAAAAACATAAAATAAAATCAGAACTCTATTCATTTCTTCTAAAGAAACATTTTTTCGCCCTTCTGGTTATCATTTCTTTCTTTTTAAAAAAATATTTGTATTGATTTTTAGAGAGAGGAAAGGAGAGGCAGAAAGAGAGAGATTGGTAAGAGAGGGAACCAGGGATAGGCTGCCTCCTGTACGCCCCCTACCAGCCCACGACTTGGGCACGTGCCCTCACCAGGAATCAAATCGGCCACCTTTTGTTGGCCCAGGTGATGCCCAACCAGTTGAGCCACAGGGGCCAGGGCTGGTTCTCATTTCTTGACTTCTAACTCTTAGATGCCTCCTCTAGGCACATTCCAAGGTGACTGATGAGAAACAGCACTAAACACACACTAGGGCAGCGTGTGGTGGGGTGGTGGGAATAAGGAGACGGAAATCCCACTAGGGCCCACTTTTGTTTTTGTTTTTTTGTTTTATTTAAAGCCCAGTTTTAACCTGTATTAATGTGGTTCTGCTACTTCCTGCCAATTTCCCCAGACGTGTATAAAGCACTTCTCACTGAAGAAAATAGGAAAGTCTACCACAGTCCCACCACAGCTCTGAACTGAAGGTTACAGCCACACAAGGTGCGGTTCATCCAGTGCATTTCCAAGAGCTAATCTGGACTTGGTGAAACACATAGGTTGGAGACTGAGACTTGATTGATTGGGTTTGACTTCTAAACCAACTAGCTGTGTATTCTTGGGAGGATAAATTCAATTCTTACCTTCAATTGTCCTCATTTAAAAAATAAGGTAATTGGACTAGATTAGTGTTTCCAACTTTCTGACACATCGTAAAAATTCATGTATATCAATCACACACACACACACACACATAGCGATTGCAATCAGGTTTTATGAAATAATACCTAACTTGGTGTGATAAACTCTGATACTTTCTATTCTATTCCACACTTCTAAAAAATGTAGGGAGTGGCCTAATTAGTTGATGCCATGGCCAACTAATGAATTATAAATGTTTTAATGTTTGAAAAACATGGCACTAAATGTTATATAGGTTTTCATCTTATGTTAAAGTAGAAAATGCCTCAGATACATGACATGTCTCAATTCTTCCTTATACTTTTAAAATTCTCTCTTGGTAGGATTATATGAATGTATATGTCGTAGATGTTAATAGAATGTACAATTACAGTTTAAATTAGTAAAGTTAACTGAGCAATTAAATGTGTAACAAGAGAATCCCACCCGAAGTTTCTTACGAACAATAAAGTTTGGAAGCATTGCATGACTGGATTTAATGTACAAGTTAAGTGATTAAAGTTAAGTCATCTCTCAGAATTCAAATATTTCATATTTTAAATTCGCGAATATTTAAAACCTAGCCTTCTGATCAGTCACTAAGTAAACGTTGAGAATTTCTACCCTCTGACATTTCACTTGCCAGTGTTTTGTTTCCATTTCCCCGTCACATCTGGACAAAGGCAGACACGGTGAGGAGGGCGGGAATCAAAGCAATAACCAGAAGCCAATTTCCTTCCTCCCAAACACATGCTTAGAGGCTGACATCATAGCCCCATGGCCTGCACCGCAGATGGAAACGGAACTGGATTCAGTCAGGAAATTCAACCTTTATCAGATAAAGACAGGAAAGACTTCAGCAGACACATTCACACCTGTTGCACGGAGGAACTAGACCTCAAGAACCAAAACCTCATTATTGCCCTAAAAATAACTTCTGCTAGAGGCATAAAATAGAATGAGGGCCAATGACTGAGCTTCCACTAACACTCCTCTGTGATACTGTTTTATTCTGCAGAAAGTAGGAAAAAATAAGATGACAACTGAAAAGAAAGTGTCCTAACCCTCCCTACTTCCAGATGGGAACTCAGGCTGCCTGGCTGTCAGCAGCCCAACCCCCACAGCAGTCTCCAGAGCCAGTCCAGTCCTTCCCTGAGCAAAACAGCAGGTGCCCAGTGAGCAGCCGGGCTTAGCCAACGGGTGGAAAGTGAACACTCCCTGGTGTGCGATTTCAGCCCTGCTGGACCAGAGGCCAAAGGACCAATCAGCACATGGGGAGACACACTGGACAGCCTGTCCAGTTGGTCATCTCAGGGTCTCCTTTTTCATCATTTGGCTTTTCTTGTGTTCTCTTTATCCGTTTCCCTTCCTGTCTAGCTTGCTCCTTCCCTTTTTCTCCACTTACTTTTATTTTATCTGTATCTTATTTTTCTGCAAAAATTAGTGAATTAAAACTGAACTGAAACATGCCCCCTGCCGGGTTATTTCGGTTGCTCCCGGCCCCCCGCTGCGCTCATGTTCCCGCACAGCCCAGTGTGGCCTTAAGGCTGTTTCCGTCGCCACGGAGAGGCGTCTTCCTCTGCATCGTTACAAAGGTTTCCAAGACATTTCAGGAGGCCCTGCCTGCCCTGCCTTGTGTTCTGTTTAAGATACAGCTCGTTTATTCATGCAGCAAATTAAACTTGTGTTCATCGAGTTGATTAAAGCCAGAAGACGTCTCAAAGATCATCAAATGCAATCCCTTAATTTTACAGATGAGAAAACTGTGGCCCAGAGAGTTCAAGTGATTTGTTCCACATCTTAATCTAATGTTCAGTGTGGTTCGGGTGAAATAGATGAGGCAGAAAAAAGTACAGAAGGACGGAAAAGTGTGTGCACACTAAAATTTCTTGCAAAGTCAATTTTGGTCACCGGATGTTAAACACTTGAAAGAAGTCCAGTGACTGTGTCAGTCGTATAACGTAACCTGTTTGAATCACTGGGGATTCAATTTCTCGTGTGCTTGGGCTGGATAATGCACCAGTTCCTAGAGAGGGTCCCACGGGAGAGAAAGGTGCATGATTCTCTCGCACGCGGGATTCTGAAGAGATCTAAAGCCATCTACCGAGACAGAGAACTTGGATCGCTGCGGAGAGCAGCCGCTTTGCCCGAAATGAGAAGCAGTAGCCACTGTGAGGAGAAACAAATGAGAAAGTGGGCAGGGATTCTAAGAGGGAGATTTTTTAAAATGTATTTATTTATTTATTTATTTATTTATTTATTTATTTATTTATTTATTTATTTATCAGAGTGGAGCTTGAAAAGATGAGCACCCGGGGATCTCTGGACACATGACTATGCCAGAGGGAGCACATCTGGTACAGGTAAAGCCCCCAGGCCTTTCTGAAGGGAGCATCCATGAATCACACCATGCTTCTGGGGACCCAAAGGCTTGGCATCTGTCTATTACAGGTTTACATCAGATGGAATTTTGGACCATTAAATCTCTTTCTAAATATGATGCAAAAGGAAAACCCCAACTCTCTGAAATGGTGCACAGCTCAGGTGGGAACATAAACTTCAAATAACATAACATTTTCCTAAATTCCATAGGCGTTGGGTTTGGGTGTCTGTGGTTTACATATTACCTCAAAGACACTCCTGGCAAAGGGTATTTGTTTCCCATGCTGCATTTACAAAGAGCAAAATAAGAATGAACATTAAATAATAGGAAGAATACAATAAAAGGAATAAAGGCTGAAAAAGTTCAGTTTCATTAGGTCAAATTTAGAAATGTAAATTTTGCCAAGAAATCTTCCACTTTCTGCCATAGAATTCTATGTAAGTAGCCTCTTATTCTTATCTGCTATAGTTCTTTTCTAATTTCTTAAAATACATATTTGGTTTCTTCAGTAGAAGAAACAGAATTTTATTTTGGTAGAATTTTAAAGTCATGGAAAAGTTGTAAGAAATAGCTCCTGAATTCCTTTTACCCAGACTCACCACATATTCCCATGTTCCCCATTGCTTTGCCCCCCATCCCCCTCTCGGACTTGCTCACTTCTTTCTTCTCTGAACCGCCTGAGTAATTTGAAAACACTGTATGTCTTTAGCCTTGAAAACGGTATATAGTTCCTGAGAACAAAAACATTACCTTACAAAACCACTTTCCAATTTTCAAAATCAGAAAATGTTATCATTGATACGATATCTTGTGTAATCATTACTCCGTTTTTACTAGGGAAGACACTGGAGTCACTACACATTGTTCTAAATATAGCTGTCATTGTGTGCCACCGTTTCGGGGATGAAGCATTTTCATCGTACTATTTGCAATGGAGAAAAAGAAACCAAGTGTATAAATGCTGTTTTGTTACCTGCTGATGCATTAGTTGTTTCATAGTTTATTAAAAAGCCTTCATAAGCGAGGTCAGCGTCAGCCACAAACACAAGCATTAATGAGTTGCTATTGCTGGTAAGAGAGGGTGGGAATGATTTTCCACAATATCTGTTTGAAACCAAGAAAGAACACAGGCTTAAAATCTTTTAGTACACTTGAAATAATGTATCAAAATTAAATTAGGACATGTAAAAAAATAATAATACACCCTATTATCCTTAAATATGCAAATATATTTTAGTTACAAACAATTACAAAGTTGCAAAGGCCTTCTTATTCATGATTACTTCCCTGCAACAGCTTTGTGTGTGTACCTAGTGATTTGACTTGCGTAAGTTTGATGAAATTAGAAATTACAAGCTATAGTAGGTGTCTATATAGCATATTATTGAACTTATTAACAGTAATGTAATAAACTTTCACAACAGAGAGAAACCATATATCATAAATGCATAGAGAACAGACTTGAGTCAGCTCTATCATTTTCAGCCATTATGACTCTGAGCAGATCAATCAACCTCTATGCCTCAGTTTTCCCATCTCTAAACTGGGGATGATGAGTAGCTACTTCATAGGGTTGTTTTGAGAAGTTTGTGGGTTAATATACTGTATGTAAAGGACTTAGAACAGTGCCTAGAATTGTAAGCCCTATATAGGTAAATCTATTATCTTTACACAGTGGTCTATGAAGAGCTAAGAGTTTGATGACTAAGGCATGTCAACTTTCTGTTGAATAAAACCAGTTTTACTCAGAAAAACTATTCTAATAACACTAAAAGTAAGCTTGTGATAAAAGACATGCCATGAGCATTTTTCTAGAGAAAAACCCATGAGGAGTGACTAGAAAACAGAAATCTCAACTCGATGCACACTTGGTGAAATTAACCAAAATGCAATGACAGAGGGAAAAGTAGAAATCAAAATAAGAGAAAATATTGAATTTGGGCAAATGATTAATTAATTTCTGAAAGAGGAAAAGACAAAATATTAGTGTATAATACTATTTTAATACTAAAATAGATTTAATATCTTGATCAAAATAAAATTGAGTGGCCCTGGCCAGTTTGGCTCAGCAGTTAGAGCGTCAGCCTGTGGACCAATGAGTCACAGGTTCGATTCTGGTCAAGGGCATGTACCTTGGTTTTGGTTTGTCTCCAGCTCAGGTCAGAGTCGTTCAGGCGGCAACCAGTCAATGTCTCTCTCTCTCTCTCTCTCTCTCTCTCTCTCTCTCTCTCTCTCTCTCTCCCCCCCCTTCCTGTGCCCTTCCCTCCCTCACACTCTATCTGAAGATAAATAGAAAAAATATCCTCAGGTGAGGATTAAAAAAAACAAATAAATAAATAAAATAAAATTGAATGGATTAATTAATATTTTTAATGTCTCTGTATATACCCATGTCTGCCAAACTGGGCATAAGCATTATAGTAGTTTATGCCATTCAGCCAAAAATATGTATTTTTTAATTAGTATGAGTCAAGTACCATAAAAAAGAAAAAGAAATGGTCTTACAAATGAAAGATTAAGACAAATTAGAGCAAAAAGTGAAAAGAATCAAAACAGAAGAAAAAATAAGTTTATCAAAATAATAGATACAGAAAAAAATTTTTTTAAATAGATTAAAAAATGAAATGCTGTCCGGCCAGTGTAGCTATGGTTGAGTGTCAACCCATGCACCAAGAGGTCACTGGTTAGACTCCCAGTCACGGCACATGCCCAGGCTGTGGGCCCGATCCCCAGTGGGGGGCATGCAGGAGGCGGCCAATCGATGTTCTCTCTCATTGATGTCTGTCTCTCTCCCTCTCCCTTCCTCTCTCTCTAAAAATCAATAAAGAAAAATTATTAAAATAATAATAATTATTATAAAAGCAAAACTGGACCTGATCAAACTGTTTCCAAGTAACTTCATTGCATCCCCAAACAAAGCTCAGGAATGTTTACAGGAATACAATAATACCCAGTACACAAAAACACAAAATTGAAAATGTCTGGCATCCTATCAAATATTATCAGACATTAAAAGAAAGAGGAAAGTATAAGCCATAATGGGAAGACCAACCAAAACACAGCAAGAAATGCCACATATGACTGAATTAGCAGTCAAAGACATTCAAATAGTTATAACTGAATCCCACAGATTTAGGAAGCTAGAGGAAAAAATTAATGTGCAAAATAGAAGCATGGATATAAAAGATGGCCCAAAGTAAACTTCAAGAAATGAAAACTACAATGTTTGAGATGAAAAATACACGTGGTAGGGTAAACAGCAGAATGGGCATTATGGAAAAACAAATCAGGGCACCTGACTATATAACAGTAGAAACTTTTCAAAGTGACCGGCAAGGAGAACAAAGACTCAAAATCAAATAAACAGAGAATCAGTGAGTTGTGGGACAAGATCAAATGGCCTAAGATACAATAATCAGAGTCTTCAAAAGAAAAGAGAGACAGAATTGAAGTATTTAAAGAACTAATGGCCAAAATTGTTTTAAATTTGATAAAATTATAAGCCCTCATATCCAAGAATCTCTAGATAAACATTATGCTAAGAAAAGCCAGTTAAAAAATCAGTACATACAATGTGAATCCAATTCCAGAATGTACAAACTAATTTACAGTGATGGAAAGAAGGTTAGTGGTTCCCTGGGGATGGGGATGAGAGGCAGAAGTAAGAAATTCTCATCATACCTTCATGGGTATACACATATGCCAAACTTAATTAGGAGGGGCCAAGGCGACAGAGTAGTGATATAGAAATGGTCCTTGGGAAGCATGTTCATTTCACCTGGGTTTTATAACACAACATGGTGGATTTTAACATCCTTCACTGAAGCAAGAAAATTTCTGTGTGAAAAAAAAAACCCCAAACAAATAATCTCACCTCCCAAGAGATGTCCCAGAACCAGTGTCATAAATTTCCAGATAGTCATTTGTGCAATTGTAATGAAACTGCAGATGAAATCTCCTGACTATCAAATTTATCAGGTAGCCAGGTTGGGTTAATATATACCAGGTACAGTTGATACCATGGGGGTAGATATTTGGATGACCAGGACTTTCAATAGTTCCTGTTGGCTCTGTAAGAGTTTTCCCACATGCTATTGAAATAAAAACAGTAATTGTTAGAACAAGTAACCAACAAGCTACTTGTCATTCAAAATAAAATAATCTGATCATAACCTCTTAAAAGCTCAAAATTTTTTCCTTGTATGCCTCTTCAGATAACTTGGTTTTTCTCTTATTAATAGACATCAATTAACTATTGATATGTGCTGCTTAAGATAGATATGTATAGATATATAACCTTAAAATTTTACAGTGTAGGTATATACTCATCTACAGTATAGACAATGTTTATAATAATTCATTTACATTGTTTACTTATTCTGATATAAGCCTGAGAAGCAAAGCAGAAGAAAGAGTTCATCACTTACCCAAATCTTCAGTCCTGAACTTAGCCATGAAACCACGGTTTTCAGTAGAAGAACTTTTCACAAATATGACATAAAGGAAATTGTACATGGATGTTATAAGCATAGGTATGTCTGTGCCACAATATTTTTTATTTTCAGTAGAACCCAAAATGGAACTACTACCAATCTAAGGTAAAAAAGATATATTCAAATTTATAGTTAGATCCTTATTTTGAAAAAATACTTTAAGAATAATTATATTTGAAATGTTTTTATTAATATAGGAGAAGTCAATTTCAGAATATTTTTGTCATCCCCAAAAAACTTCATGCCTATTAGCAGCCATTCCCCCATTTCCCTCAAACCCCAGGTCTAGACAGCCACTAATTTACTTCCTATCTCTATGAATTGTCTATTCTGCACATCAAATAAATGGAATCATACAATATATGGCCTTTAGTGACTAGCTTCTTTCACTTAGCATATGTTTTCAAAGTTATGTGTCATTACTTCATTCCTTTTCAATGCCATATAATATTCCATTGTGTGGATAAAGTACATTTCATTAAGTCATTCATTAGTTGATGAACACTTAAACTGTTTTACTATTTTGCTATTATGAATAGTGATTGTACTCACTCATGTACAGATTTTTGTGTAGACACATATTTTATTTTCCTTGGGTATATCCCTAGGAGTGGAATTGCTGGATCAAATAATAAGTCTATGTCTAACTTTTTGAGGCACTGCCAACTCTTTTTCAAAGTGTCTACCATTTTAAATGCCCACCAGCAGTGTACGAGTGTAAAAGGCTTCCCATTTCTCCAAATCCTCGCCAACACTCTTTATTATCTGACCTCTTGTTTAAGCCGTTTTAGTGGGTATAAGGCACTACCTCATTGTGGTTTGGCTTGTATTTCCCTGACGACTAGTGATGTTGAGCATCTTTTCATGTACTTATTGGCCATTTGCAGAACCTTTTTTGAAGAAATATATATTCATATTCTTTGTGTAGTTTTAAAATTAAGTTATTTTTTATTTTGATGAAGTCCGCTTTTTTTATTTTCCCTTTTGTTGTTTGTATTTTTTGTGTCATGTCTAAGAAGGCTTTGTCAAACCCAAGGTCACAAATGCTTACTCCTATGTTTTCTTCTAGGAGTTCAGGGTTTTCACTCCCACATTTAAGTCTATGATTCAAGTTAACTTTTGTGAATGGTGTAGAAAGGGGTCCAATTTAATAATTTTGCGTGTAGATATTCTGCACCATTTGTTGAAAAAAACTATTATTTTTTTTATTAAAATATCTTGGCACTCATTTCAAAAATTAACTGAACACAAAGGTATGGATTTATTTCTGGATATTAAATTCTCTTCCATTGTTTCATATTTTTATCCTTACTCAAATAACACACTTCTTGATTACCATAGCTTTGTTCTAAGTTTTGACATTAATATGTGTAAGTCATATAACTTTGTTCTTTTCCAAGAATGCTTTGGTTATTCTGGTTCCCTACATTTCCATGTGAATTTTACAGTCAGCTCGTGAATTTTTGCAAAAGTGTCAGCTGGGATTTTGATAAAGATTGAATTGAATCTTTGAATAAATTTGGGAGGCATTGCCATTTTAACATCATTAAGTCTTCTAATCCACGAACATGAAATATCTTTCCATTTATTTAGGTCCTTAATATCCTTCAACAATGGTTTATAGTTTTTAGAGTGCAAGTATTATACATTTTTTTCAAGATGTATTCTTTTTATGCTATTATAAACAGAATTGTTTCCTTGATTTTATTTTTCAATTGTTCATTGCTAGTGTACAGAAAAAGAAATAACTTTCACCTTTTAATTCTGCATTCTGGAACTTGCTGAGTTTATTAGTTCTGTTTGTGTGTAGTGTGTGTGTATGTGTGTGTGTGTGTGTATGTGTGTGTGTGTGTACTAATTATGATTTTTCTATATACCAGATCCGGTCATCTGTGAACAGAGATAGTTTAAATCCTTCCTTTTCATTCTGGGTGCATTTTATTTCCTTTCCTTGCTTACTTGCCCTACCTATAATTTCCAGTATAATGTTGAATAGAAATTGTGAGAATAGACATCTTTTGTCTTTTTACTGACCATAGAAGCAAAGTGTTTAGTGTTTCATCATTAAATATGATGTCAGCTGTGGTTTGTTTGTTTGTTTATTTTTTACAGTTGCCCTTTATCAGATTAAGGGAGAGTCCTTCTATTCTTAATTTGAGTATTTTTATTGTGAAAAGGTATTGGACTTTGTCAAGTGCCTTAATGAGAAATAGCGGTCTGTACAAGCTAATTTTGTTTCATGTAACTGATTTGAAGATAACATACTATTTTTAATAATATCCAACCAAATATAAATATTCAAAGGTGTTTGACTCTCACCTCAATGTAATCTGTATTACACTGGGACGAGCTTCCAATTTCAAAGCCAGTGAAGTTGAGAAGAACTACTTGGCCTTGGGGTTGCTGGATAGTCCACCTACAGATCCTTTCTCCTGGATACGCGTTAGGATAAAAGGGTGAGCGAATGACCCCTTCTCCAGTTAATTCACCTCCACAAGCTGTAAATACGGAAATGAGAGTAGTATTTGTGCAGAGAGAAATGATCTTTGCCCTCAACTTTATTTCAAATTCTAATTCTAATTATATGCAAGGATATAATGGAATGTGACCACTTGAAGACATAAAATGACAACATTCTTTCAAGAAATTAAAAGGTTACAATCAGGGAAATTACGCATTTAAAAATTAAGGCATAGGTTTTCTTACCCACTTGATAAACAGCTCTGAAACCAGCTCTTACAACAGAAGCATCGATTATAAACCTGATCCAGATACTATTAGTAATCGATTTAATGTGAGAGAGGGTTTCACTGCCACAGACTTTTCCAAGTAAAGTATCATCATCTCGGACCTAAAGAGAAAAATAAAATAGATCTGTAATTCTAATCAATAAAATTACCTCAACAAGGGTAGTATTCTTTGGAGATGTGGAAATGGAATATTCAAAATGAGTTATCATTTGCCCTGGCTGGTTTGGCTTAGCGGTTAGAGCATTGGCCCGTGGACCAGAGAGTCCCAGGTTTGTTTCCTGCTAAGGGCGCGTACCTCAGTTGCAGTTTGTTCCCGGCCCCAGTTGGGGTCGTGTGGGTGGCAACCACTTGATGTGTCTCTCTCACGTTGATGTTTCTCTCTCTCTCTCTTTCTCCCTCTCTCCCTCCCACTCTATCTGTAGATAAATGCAAAAATATCCTTGGGTGAGGATAAAACAAAAAATGAGTTATCATTTAACTTGGGTTACATATTTATATTATATTTGAAAGTAGACAACGGGTCATTTTTTAGCACAATACAATAACACTAAATATTGATAACAAAATCTTAAGCTAAAAGGATCCAAAAACAAACAAACAAACAAACAAAATGTTTTCCTAATAATTGCCACAATATCAAAGAGAAAATAAATGTACAATTTTGGACTATTTAGAAGACAACAAAATATGAGAAGACAGCATACCAAAATATGTAAGTTTTAGCCACATCTATAATCAGATTGAAAGGAAAATAAAAAAGTACATGAGAAAAAGAGAGAAATTCTAAGGAGTCAACTTAAAAATTAGCAAAAAGTATTTAAATGAGAAATAATAAAATAAAAATACATCTTTAATACTTTCAACAATAAAGATACATTTAAAAAATAAAATCAGCCCTGGCCTGTTTGGCTCAGCGGTTGGAGCGTCAGCCTGCGGTCTGGAGGGACCCGGGTTCGGTTCCTGGTAAGGGCATGTACCTCAGTTGCAGTTTGTCCCCAGCCCTGGATGGGTCGAGCGGGTGGCAACCACTCGATGTGTCCCTTTCACATCGATGCTTCTCTCTCTCTCTCTCTCTCTCTCTCTCTCTCTCTCTTCCTCTCCCTTTCTCCCTCCCACTCTATCTGAACAAAAAATGGAAAAATGTCCTCGGGTGAGGATAAAAAAAAAAAATTCAACTCTAATAAATAAAGTACAAGAAAAAAGTATTCATGAATATATTCAAGAACTATTTTTCAAGGAAGGTTAAGGTGTAGGAATATAAAAGACATATATTTGGCATAAAAGATAAAAAAAGTAAATAAAAAAGAAAATAAGCACAAATATACAAAATTAAAAATGACAAAGATGAGCCCTGGCCAGGTGACTCGGTTGGCTGGAACACTGGCCCCTACACCAGAAGGCTGCAGTTTCAGTCCCTAGTCGGGGCGTGTATGGAGGCAACTAATCAGTGTTTCTTTCTCACATTGATGTTTCTCTCTCTCTTTCTCTCTCTCTAAAATCAATAAACATATCCTTAGGTGAGGACATTAAAAATGACAAAGATCATATAAATACCCAGATACTGAGGAATTTGTTTAATATGATAAATTCCATGTATAACTCTATGGTAATATGGTTGAATTTTTGAAATGGTTATTTCCAGAAAGAAAAAAATTACTAAAATTACCTCAAGGAAGAAAAATAAAATTTGAGTAGACAACAAAGCATAAATAAAATTTGAAACATTATCACAGAAGATGCTCTGCTTGATAAGTTATTTTATACTTTTAAGGAACAAATAATTCCCATATATAATTTGTTCTAAGGCACCCTCAAACATGGAACAGTTCCTAACTAATTTTTCTCAGTACCATCTTACCAAATCCCAACATAAATACAAATGAAAACTATGAATTGATCTCACCTATTAATATCAATACAAAAATTCTAAACCCGGTCCTAGAAAAATGAATCCATTCCATTGTTAGGCTTATATACCAAATCAAATATGAGAATAAATGTAATGCAAGAATGGTCTGAAATGAGAAATTATAAATTAAGCTTATCAATAGGTTCAATAAGATAAACCATATATCTCCATAGATGCCAGAGCTTGCTAGCATTCTTATTTATTAGAAACAACACTCTTAGAAAGTTAGAAGCAAAAGAAATATTTTTTCATATAATAAAGATCAATTGTTTGAACCAGTAGTCAATATCTTGCCCGGCTGGTGTGGCTCAGATTGAGGGTGGTCCCATGGACTGAGAGGTCCCGGTTTGATTCCCGGTCAGGGCACACACCCAGATTGTGGGCTCCATCCCCAGTAGGGGGCGTGCAGGAGGCAGCCAATGGATGTTTTTATCTTACATGGATGTTTCTATCTTTCTCTCTCTCTAAAAACATCAATAAAACCATATGAAAAATGTATCTTCCTTTAAAAAGAATAGTCAATATCTTATAGTGTAGCAGCCACGAGCACCAGCTACAGAGTCATATAGACCTGGGTTCGATTCCCAGCTCTGTCACAAACCTCACTGAACAAACTTTGAACAATGTACTAAGTCTAAGCCTAGCTCAAGGAGTTTGTTGGAGCAAATAGATAAAACAATAGTGTGAATTCCAGAGCAAAATGCCTACTAATACTATTGTTAAACCTGACACTAGAGCTTCCTCTCCAAAATCAGAATGTACTCCAAGGATATACATGCTACTCCTTATATGGAAGTGTTCTGGATGAGCTAGCTATCTAAATATGAATCCACCCCCTCAGTGAGCTTTATCGGGGCATCCGTAAACGCCAGTGCCGGTTGCTGGGGGTAGCACTGTGGAAGAGAGTCTGTTCACCAGGAACTAAAACAAACAAGCCCACGTTTTTAAAAAGCACGAATGTCATGTTTAAAAAGTGCGGGCTACTATATCATTACTTCACCATGGCTCCCAGCAGGTACCACAGCTAGACATCTTGGAAATCTGTGAAGGCATTTTTGTTTTTGTTTTAATTATTTTTTAAAATATGTTTTGATTGATTTGAGAGAGAGGACGGGAGAGGGAAAGAGAGAAAGAAACATCAGTGATGAAGGAAACATCAATCGGCTGCCTCCTACACGCCTCCGACTGGGGATGGAGCCTGGAACCCGGGCATGTGCCCTGATGGGGAATCAAACCAGGGACCTCCTGGTGCACAGGTCGATGCTCAGCCAGTGAGCCACACCAGCTGGGCATTTGTGTTTTAATTATTAACACAATGATGGCATGACACTATTGACATTTAATGGCTGAGGACCGAATATACTAAATAGGCTAAAATGTGAGAGACATCACACACAAGAATTCTCCTGTGTCCTTTGTGGCATTCATGCAAGTGACAGTTTGTTACTAAGTGTGAAACCTAGCTCTATCTGACCCACCAAACACGACATATTTTTGTCCAGTTATAAAACACACAGAATTTTCCAGGTTGATAAGTATACTGTACATCGAAAGAAGTTCTTTTTTTCCTCCTAGAAATCTGCCAAGAGTTAGTCACCATTTCAGAAAATGTGTCACCAATCTACCCAGCCATGTCAGCCTGCATTTGTACTGCGACATTCACAGTGACTCCGGGGAGCAAACAGCTTACCTGCTTTCACTTTGCCTTGTACAGTTACCTAGGCTCCTAACTTACTGAAACACATATTTTTTAAAATGTATTTCTCCTAAAGTTTATAAGATGAACCAAAATGTTTTATATAACTGTGTATGTTGAGGTGACATCATCTATGGACTTTATCTCAGAAGAGTGAAAGGGTGATATAAAACGGTCTTAAAGTATAGAGAACCCTTGACTTAACCTAAAACTCTGAACTCACACGGGATTACGGAATACTTCTCGGTGGAAAGAACCTTGAGACTGGGGTTTAAAGGATTATCCAGGCCAAGGGCAACAGGCAGAAGAGGGAAGATTTTAGAAGTATGATACTCAGTGCCGGTGGGGATATGGTAACATGGTGACTGTCATCTGCAACCGGCGGAAAAATAAATTTCTGGAAAATAATTTGACGGTCTGTATTGGGAGTCTTCCAAATGTTCCTGGTTCTGGACCCTGTGCCTCCACTTTATCACCATAAGGAAATTATCCGAGATACAGGCAAAGACACGCACGACGACCCACATCAAAGTACGTTCTATAATAACAAGAATGGAAAATATTCCAAATGTTTCATAATAGGAGAGTGATTAAGTAAATGACCGCACAGCCATATGACAGTCTTACAGACACATTAAACAATCACCCACCTCTCCACTAATTCACACCCAACCCGTTCCTTTCTATGAGCTGTAACACACTGTTTGCATATGTCATTAAGTGATGCTAAAAATCTCTCTAACCAAACAGCAAAACGTTGTAAGGAGAAACATTCCTGTATCCTTTTTGGCACCTAAACAGACCTTTGTAAATGGTATTTAACAAACGCTTGCTGATTCATTCATTTAAGGCAGGATGTGATGCAGAGATGTGTGAGAGATGCAGACATATGACAGTCCTGAGAAACCAGAAAGCATGAGCACAGAGTAAGATGTCTTCTGCTTTCTAATTCTCCGGGGCCCCATTTGCTTCTGCTAAGATTGTAGCCTCTCTTTTCTGCGCTGCCCATTAGAAAATGACAAGAAGGAAGAAAAACAGCCCAATAGCATCAGAGCCTGCTAAAGTGGGCTGTTCCCCTGGGCCTTGCTAATGAAATTCAAGGGCGTGAGCAAGGAGAGAGGCAGCTGCCATGCAAATGTTTGCAGGGAACTTACAGTCCTCCAGGGCCCTAAACCTAGAGGCACATTGATTTTGGCTGTGTTTCTGTCTCTGTGTGAAAATGAAACCTCATTAATTCTGAGAGCCTGTATTCTCCCTGGATCTCAGAGCAATACCTTAACCACAACCTCTTTGAAAAAGACATTCAAATAAAATTCATTAAATGTTCTAAAGTGACCCCAAACACTTTCAGTATTTGCATTCAGTATTCTAGGACTTGTGAATTTGCACCCCCATTCACTCTCCCCAAAACCCTCCTCCTTTGTGCTTGTGCATTCGAATCGACTATTTTCCTGTGCTCACTGCCATGTGACTTGCAATGCCTCCCCATGGAGATC